GAATATCATGCGATGACTGGAATGGGAAGGAATGGGAGTGAAGATAGATGGTCAGCAACTACACCACCTCCGCTTTGCTGATGACCTCATTCTAATAACACCAAACATCAGCCAAGTGGCACAAATGCTGACCGACTTTGACCATGAGTGTGGAAAGGTCGGATTACAACAGAATCTCACAAAGACAATGTTCATGAGAAACAGTCTTGTTCCTGATGACCCATTCACTCTCAACAAAACCACTATCTCCGAATGCAATAGTTATATATACCGAGGACGAGAAATCAACAAGATGAATGACCTAGCATCTGAGTTATGCAGGAGGAAGAGAGTGGCTTGGAATGCCTTCAAGAGAATTGAAGAAATAACTAAGAGGACAAAGAACCTTCAGCTCTGAGCACATCTCTTTGATTCCACTGTTCCTCCTGCAATAATATATGCCTCAGAGACCTGGGCCCTACGAAAACAGGATGAAAACGCTATTCGGGTATCTCAAAGAGGAATAGAAAGAGCTATGCTTGGAGTATCATGCTTCACTCAAATGAGAGATAGAATCCGGAGTTCCGATCTCCGTCAACGCTAAAGAATAAAGGACGCTATCTCATTTGCCAAGCCATCAAAAATCAGATGGGCTGGACACTTAATGAGATTTAGAGATGACCACTGGACTAGAGCCATTACTGACTAGATTACACGGGACGTCAAAACGCCGGGTGGACGTCCACCTACAAGATGGTCAGATTTCTTCGTCAAGACCCTGAATGATCGGTTTGAGTCTCTGCATATTCCTAGAACGAGCAGATGCCATTGGGCTATGCTAGCACGCAACAGGGATGAATGGAAACGCTACTGACACCCGCTCAAGTAAATGGATGAGTACCGGGGTATCAAGTGATCAAGGGACTTTTAGTCTTTTAATTGTACAAATAATTTTCAGTGTAGGAAAACTAAAAGATAAAGGTAAGATAATAATCTTACTTAATTTTCACAGGTATTTTTCCGTTGAAAAAAATTGTATGTTACAATACGTTTTGCTCCCCAAAATCAATAAAAATAATCCAATAGGGGCTGTGACCATCATTGCTACTTTGTTATATACAAAATTATTTATATTCATTGCAATTTCAACTTCAAAATCTTTATTGGGAGGAGGAGTACACCTAGATGTGCCTAGAGCTTGGCTAGAGATCACTCTCGATCACTCTCAGGGGCTCCAGGTCTGGGCCCACAGTGACGAAACGGTAGGACCTCACAGGATGGGGGTAGAGCCGGGCCTGTCTTCCCCACCCCAACGAGACCCGAAGTCATCGCCCATGAAAGGCCTCTCTGGCTCCTGATCAAGCTGCTCAATGGCCATGATACGAAACACTCAGGAGCAAATCTCGAAACCCAGTGGCTTTTGGCAGAAATCCCTGCAGATTTAAGTGTTAAAATTTCAGAATTTCAAAATCACATGGCCCTACTGCAGCCACGCAACATCATATGTTATCCCTAACCAGCAATAGAACACAAATTGTCTACTGTTGCCTTTTCAGCAGATCTGAGTGTTGGGGTAAAATCTCAAGTAATAATGGTGGGTCTGGTGTCGAAATATTGAATGTGATCAAAGTAGAGAGAGAGTAATGTGGAAATCATCTGCCCCACAGGTAGGGGGAGGGTGTGTGATGGGGGTGTACTGGGATTATGGTGGTGGAGAATGGGCACTGGCGAAGGTACGGGTGTTTCATTATATGATCGAGACTTAGACCTGAAAGTTTTGTAACTGCTCTCACGGTGATTCAATAAATAAAATTATAAAAAATGAAAAAAAATATTAAGGTGGAGTTCATGCCTAATTCAATCACATAATCAATGGCCGAATAAATAGCAGTACACCTACATAAAAAAAAAAAGAAAATAACTTTTTAGCAGCACATTTTTTCAAGTGGCTGCTCCCTGCTCTCCCCAGGGCCTTGAGTTCACCACATGAACAGAACTTGTGGGAAGAGGAAGAGCGGCAGCAGCCCAGAGGGGGCTGTGCAGAGAGCAAGCCCTGCTGCAGGGCCACAGTAGTCTATAGACCAAACATGATTGTCACTCAATGCTTCTCTTGCAAAACACAGTACCCAAAAGAAAAGAGAGAGAACAAGGGGGAATGCCCTGCCACAGAGGCAGGGTGGACAGGGGGTTGGGGGGTGGGAGGGATCCTGGGACGCGTGGTGGTGGAGGATGGGCACTGGTGGAGGGATGGGTACTTGATCATTGTATAACTGAAACCCAAGCACAAAAATTTATATATCTATAACTGTACCTCAAGGTGTTTCACTAATAAAAATTTAAAATTTAAAAAAAATACAGGGCTCGTTCGTTATCGGAATTAACCAGACAAATGGCTCCGCCAACTAAGAACGGCCATGAACCACCACCCACAGAATCGAGAAAGAGCTATCAATCTGTCAATCCTGTTCATGTCCGGGCCGGGTGACGTTTCCCAGGCTGAAGTGACAGCTCAGCGGTAGGGCGTTTGCCTTGCACGCAGCCAACATGGCCGACCCGAGTTCGATTCCTCCGCCCCTCTCGGAGAGGCTTGGCAAGCTACCGAGAGTATCTCGCCCGCACGGCAGAGCCTGGCAAGCTCCCGGTGACGTATTCGATATGCCAAACACAGTAATAACAAAGTCTCCAATGGAGACGTTACTGGGCCCACTCGAGCAAATCGATGATCAACGGGAGGGCCTTTACCTTTACCTTTAGATCTCTGCCTAACACCATGTACAAAAGTAAGATCAAAATGGATTAAAGTCCTCAACATCAGACTGGAATCCATAAGGTACACTGAAGACAAAGTTGGCAAAACCCTCCATGACACTGAAGCTAATGGTATCTTCAAAGATGTCACGCCACTGGCCAATCAAGTGAAAACAGAGATAGACAAATGGGACTATCTTAAACTAAGAAGCTTCTGCACCACAAAAGAAACAGTGACCAAATACAAAGACAATCTACAGAATGGGAAAGGATAGTCTCCAAATACACATCTGACAAGGGGTTGATATCAAGGATATACAAAGAACTGGTTGAACTCCACAAGAAGAAAACATCCAACCCAGTGAAAAAGTGGGGCAACGAAATGAACAGAGACTTTCTCAAAGAAGAAATCCGAATGGCTAAAAGGCACATGAGAAAATACTCCACATCCTTAATCATCAGGGAGATGCAGACCAAAACAACAATGAGATATCATTTCACACCACAGAGACTGACCCACATTCAAAAGAACAAAAGCAACTTGTGTTGGCGCGGATGTGGCGAGTAAGGGACCCTCCTTCACTGCTGGTGGGAATGCCAACTGGTTCAACCCTTTTGGGAAACACTATGGACGACTCTCAAAAAATTAGAAATTGAGCTCCCATTTGACCCAACAATACCACTCCTGGGAATATACCCCGCAGAGGCTAAAAAGTATAGTCGAAGTGACATCTACACTTGTTTGTTCATTGCAACTATTTACAATAGCTAGAATATGGAAAAAAAACCTGAGTGCCCGAGAACAGATGACTGGTTAAAGAAACTTTGGTACATCCACACAATGGAGTACTATGTAGCAGTTAGAAAAATGAAGTCATGAAATTGACATACAAGTGGTACTACATGGAAAATTTTATGCTAAGCGAAATGAGTCAGAAAGAGAGGGACAGACATGGAAAGATTGCATTCATCTGGGTAACATAAAGTAACAAAATAAGAGACTAACACCCAAGAACAGCTGTGATAAATACCAGGAGGTTCACTCCATGGCTTCGAGGCCAGCCACACACTCTAGGGCTAAAGGCAGTTCAGATTGAGAAGGGAGCACCAAATAAAGGGTGCTGGGAAGATCCGACCAGAAGGGGAGATGCATGATGAAGGTTGACTATAGACTGAACATGATTGCCACCCAGTGCCTCTTCTGCAAACCACAGCACCCAAAAGGAGAGAGAGAACAAAAGGGAGTGCCCTGCCACAGAGGTAGGGTGGGATGGGCGATGGGGGTGGATGGGAGGGATACTGCGATGGGTGGGGGTGGAGAATGGGCACTGCTGGTGGGATGGGTACTCAATCATTGGATAACTGAAACCCAAGCACAACAACTTGTAAGTCTACAACTGTACCTCATGGTGTTTCACTAATAAAACAAACAAAGAAGACCCTGAATGATCGGTTTGAGGCTCTGCATATTCCTAGAACGAGCAGATGCCACTGGGCTATGCTAGCACGCAACAGGGATGAATGGAGATGTTACTGGCACCACTCGAGTAAATCGATGAGTAACGGGGTATCAAGTGATCAAGCGATCAAGTGAATTTTAGTATTTTAATTGTACAAATAATTTTCAGTGTAGGAAAACTAAAAGATAAAGGTAAGATAATGATCTTACTTAATTTTCACAGGTATTAATCCTTTGGAAAAAAAATTGTATGTTACAATACGTTTTGCTCCCCAAAATCAATAAAAATTATCCAACAGCACCTGTGACCATCAGTGCTACTTTGTTATATACAAAATTATTTACATTCATTGCAATTTCACCTTCAAAATCTTTTTTGGGAGGAGGAGTACACCTAGCTGTGCCTAGAGCTTAGCCAGAGATCACTCTCGATCACCCTCAGGGGCTCCTGGGACCACACGCAGTAATGGGGAAGGAACCCAAGCTGGATGCATGCAAGGCAAGCACCCAACCTGCAGTACTAGTTCTATGCCTCCTCAATTCTCACAATCGTACTTGGTGCTATTCATATAGCACAGTGGGTAGGGCGTTCGCCTTACACGCGGCCGACCCGAGTTCGATTCCTCCGCCCCTCTCGGAGAGCCTGGCAAGCTACTGAGAGTATTCGATATGCCAGACACAGTAACAACAAAGTCTCCAATGGAGATGTTACTGGGCCCGCTCGAGCAAATCGACGATCAACGGGAGGGCCTTTACCTTTACCTTTACCTTACTTTGAGGGAAAGGAGGGATTTGGGATCACACAGGGTGTTACCTGGGGTGTACAAGGTGACTTCCATCTCTGGTCTTAAAAGTCACTCCTGACGGATGGTACAGAACAAATGGTGCCAGGAATGGACCTGGGCATCTTGCACTCAAAGGACACACCATCCTTTATATTAAGTCTGCAGCCCAGATGCTATTAAAAGATTGCTTTAATTTTAATTTTACTCCATTGCTTGGAGGCCAAGCACACAGGCTAGGGGAAAAGGGAGCTCAGATAGAGAAGGGAACACCAAATAAAGGTGTTGGGAGGATCCTCCCAAGATGGGAGAAGCATGCTGAAAGTAGACTATAGAACAAACATTATTGTCACCCATTGGTGTTTTACAAACCACAACACCCAATAAGAGAGAGAGAACAAAAGGGAATGCCCTGCTACAGTGGCAGGGTAAGATGGAGGGAGTGGGGGGTGGGAGGGATCCTGGGATCCGTGGTGGTGGGAAATGGGCACTGGTGGAGAGATGGGTATTTGATCACTGTATAATTGAAACCCAAGCACAAAAATTTGTAAGTCTGCAACTGTACCTCATATCTCACTAATAAAAAAAATTGCTTCCGTGCCTTTGGCCAGACCCCAAAAACTTGGGGCAAAGTTTCCCAAGAAAGTAAACGGCCAAAAGTTAGGTATGTGGGAAACACACGAACAAAACACCTGCAGGTCAGCTATATAGTTGGAGACATGCCTCTCTGGTTCCTGATTGAACTGCTTAATGGCCATGATCCCAGAGACTCAGAAACAAATCTTGAAACCCAGGGGCTTTTGGCAGAAATGTGTCTGGTCCATGCGGTAGGTTACGAGTGCGGGGCCAATCCAGGTGGGAAAAGGTTTCGTGCCTTGGCCTGTTCGCCCCAGCGGCCACACGGGGTCTCACAGGATGGTGGTGGAGCCGCCCTTTTCCTCCCTGTCCAAACAAGACCCTGAGTCGCTGCCCACAAATGGCCTCTTTGGGTCCTGATCAAGCTGCTTACTGGCCATGATCCCAGAGATTCAGGAGCAAATCTCGAAACCCAGTGGCTTTTGGCAGAAATCCCTCCAGATCTGTGTTAAAATTTCAGAATTTCAAAATCACATGGCCCTACTGCAGCCGCGCAACATCATATGTTATCCATAACCAGCAATAGATCACAAATTGTCTACTGTTGCCTTTTCAGAAAATCTGAGTGTTGGGGTAAAATCTCAAATAATAAAGGTGGGTCTGGTGTCGAACTATTGAATGTGATCAAAGTAAAGAGAGAGTAATGTGGAAATCATCTGCCCCACCAGTAAGGGGAGGGTGTGGGATGGGAGTATATTGGGTATATGGTGGTGGAGAATGGTCACTGGGGAAGATACCGAATAAACAGCAGTACACCTATATTTAAAAAAAAGGAAAATAACATTTTAGCATAGTAACATAGTAGCAATTGTGATTGCTACTCTTCACAAGCATTCAGTTCATTTTTTTTTCTTTTTCTTTTTTTGGTTTTTGCGTCACACCCGGAGAGCACAGGTGTTACTCCTGGCTCTTCGCTCAGGAATTACTCCTGGCGGTGCTTGGTGGACCATATGGGATGTTGGGAATTGAACCCAGGTCTGTCGCGTGCAAAGCAAATGCCCTACCTACTGTGCTATCACTCCAGCCCCGCATCCAGTTGCATCGTAACATACTCTTCATTTGTTCTGGCATTCTTGAAAATATTCATCCAAAATAGAAGACAACTCATCTTCATGTTCCTGATATAAATCACTTAATCACTTAATCCCCGTTATTCATCGATTTATTCGAGCGGGTGCCAGTAACGTCTCCATTCATCCCGGTTGCGTGCTAGCGTAGCCCAATGGTATCTGTTCGTTTTAGGAACATGTAGAGCCTCAAACCTAAGCCTGCACGGTTTGGGACTGGACCTGTCAGTAGCTAAACAGTTACACCCTCCAACTGCCGTGTAACCCCAACAAAGGCCAGGATCCAAAGATTATCACAACAAGCTCCCGGGAGAGCACAAGGCAGAGTCTCCTACCCTGTGTCTGACTATCCTCGCCAGGGCCCAACAGCTGAAGACTTCCAGGCCCCAACCAAGGCCTTACTGGAGCCACTCTCCACACACTTGGATAAGCCTCAGACATAACCGAACTGGCAGAGGAACCCAGGTGTGTGGGACCCGGGACTGAGATCTCTAAGCCTGATATAAATAAAACACAAAATAGAAAATACATTGATTTCTCCGCAGACCCAGTATGTATTTTCCTACTGTTCAGGCTATGCTCTATAATACCCAGTAGTAGTGCTAATAGATATTCTTGAACAAAATTGGGGCGAACGAGACAGCACAGGGGGTGGGGCACTTGACTTTTCTGAACCGGGGGCCCAAAGCACCATCAGGTTCTGGAGCACAAAAGCCAGGGTTTTGATTCACTGTATCACTGTCCTCTTGTTGTTCATCGATTTGCTCGAGCGGGTCCAGTAATGTCTCCACTGCAGACTTTGTTTTGTTACTGTGTTTGGCACATCAAATACGTCATGGGTAGCTTGCCAGGCTCTGCCGTGCGGGCGAGATACTCTCGGTAGCTTGCCGGGCTCTCCGAGAGGGGTGGAGGAATCGAACTCGGGTCGGCCATGTTGGCTGTGTGCAAGGCAAACGCCCTACCGCTGTGCTATATATATAAACACACAAGGCTCAACCTTTTACAACATGTTAGTGATCTCTTACAGAAGGGCTTAACGGCCCCTGGGTAGAATACACACTCCTTCCTCTAAGGATACTTTTTTTTATAGGATTTTCAGCGATTTTTTTGGGGGGGGGTCATACCTGTCGATGCACAGGAATTTCTCCTGGCTCTGCACTCAGGAATTATCCCTGGCTAATGGTGCTCAGGGGACCATATGGGATGCTGGGAATCGAACCCAGTTTCGCCGCGTGCAAGGCAAACGTCCCACCCACTGTGCTATCACTCCAGCGCCCTGACAGTTTTTCATATCAAACAATACAAGAAAATAGATTATTTGAGTTCTGCTTTGGGACAGGGATTGGGGTTTGGGATGGAACTATGCGAAATATGGTGGTGAGAAGGTGTAATGGTGGTGGGATTGGAGTCTGAATATTGAATGTAATCAAATATTGTAAAACACTTTATAAAATAAAAAAAATTGGGGAGCTGGAGCAATATGACAGCGGGCAGGGCGTTTACCTTGCAAGTGGCCCGCGAGGTTTGATTCCCAGCATCCCCTATGGTCCTCTGAGCACCACCAGGAGGAATTCCTGAATGCAGAGATAGGAGGAAACCCTGTGCATCACCGGGTGTGATCCAATAGCAAAAATAATAATAATAATAATAATTTTTTAAAATGACGGTGGTAGGGAATAAGTTATTGCGGAATAAACACTCTCTGCTTGTCCCCCAGAGCCCCACCGCCCGGCTCCCCAACAACTTCCATTTTCTTTTCTTTTCTTAAATTTAATTTCATTTTTAAAATTTTTAATCTTTTTTTTAGAAATGTAGATGCTTTATTGCCATATATATTTTTATAATCATAAGACATTACCATCTTGATGTGAAATGAGTTGTTCTAATGTGCATTTAATTAGGTGCTAATAACTATTATACAGCATGATAATTAAACTAAAGTGGCATTTCATACTGTCATCACCTTTTACACATATAGATTATTTTCACAATCGTATCACAGATTTCTCATCTATGCATGCAATTTGTGTGGAAAATTTTTACAAAATTATATACATATATATTCAATTATAATCATCAATCATTAAAGCACTCAAGTTTTCAAATACACAGACAATCATACTTGCTATAGACTAGAAACTTTCACATTTGGGATGTTATTGATGCCAAACACTTCATGCTACATTTGATTTTTAAAATTTTTTAATATTTTTTACATTTTTTAATTTTTAAATTTTTAATTAAATTTAATTTTTAATTAAAATTAATTTTTTATTTTTTCCATTTTTACTTTGTTTTTTAAAATATTTCACTTTTTAATGAATTTAATAAATTAAATTTAAAATTAAATTAAAATTTAATTTTAATTTTTAATTAAATTTTAATTTTTAATTAAAAATTACATTTTTAAATTTTTCCATTTTTACTTTTTTTTAAAAATTTTTTACATTTTAAGGAATCACTGATAATCACTTGATTATCACTTGATTATCACACGAAGCTCCCGGGAGAGAACAAGGCAGAGACTCCTACCCAGTGCATGACTGTCCTCACCAGGGCCAAAAGCAGAAGACGTCTGGCACAAGGCCAAAGTCATGCTGAGACCACTCTCCACACACTTGGAAGGGCTTCACGCATAAAGGAACTGGCAGAGCAACCCAGGTGTGGGGGACCCGGGGCTGAGATTTCCAAGCCTACACGGTTTGGGACTGGACCTTCCAGTAGCTAGACAGTTACACCCACCAAGAGCCGTGTAACCTGAACAACTGCCAGGATACATAGATTATCACACCAAGCTCCCAGGACTGTTTATTTATGTTTATTTATTTATATTTTGGTTACTCTTTTTTTGTTTTGGTTTTGAGTTCTTGAGCCACACCCAGAGATCAGCCAGAACAGGCCAGGTTCTTGCTGCCCCCAAGACTTTAACTTAAGGAGCTGCTTAGATCAAACAGGAGGGCAGAGGTGTTCAGGGCAATCCTGGCTCTGTGCTCAGGGACCAGACATGAAACGGGGAACTGACCCAGCGTCAGCCTTGGGAGGCAGAGAATGGTCTTTGTCTCTGCGTTGTTCTCTGGCCCTGGCAAATCTAAATCGTCAGAAACTACCTTGGGTTCTTTGAATTCCAAGTCTTCTCCGTACTGAATGGCAAAATCAATATGCTGTAATACAATGTTCCTGCTTTCTTCTCTGACTGATCGTAAGGCAAAAATCGGACCATGCTGCAGTCATCAATCTACAAATTAGAGATTTCAGAAAGGTCATTCAACTGACGCTTGAGTGTGAACATTGGTAGTCTGTAGGATAACACTCTTCTGTCCTTCCTGCATAACCTCAGAAATAGTTGATAGTCTATTGGACTGAGGAAAAGAGAAAAACACCTTAAGAGGTATCTTGCCCTTGAGCAGTCTGGAAGGGCTTTCTTATGTTGATTTGGCTACCTGACTGGGTGGAGTGTCAGCCCAGACTAGAAGGGAGCTGGAGAAGGAGAGAGCAGGGCTGAAAGATGGACTACCGAGAGACTAGCAAGGGGAACGTGTGCTTGAGAGAACCTAGGCCCTCCACAACATAAGTTCTTCTATGGGATAAACTTCCTTGTAATAAACTGCCACTAAGATCAACCGGCCTAGCCCTGGTCTCTTCCTTCATCTGCACTTGGCCAACAGCCGTCCCGATGCAGGCCACACACAGTGGCTCTAGGGCACCGAACGCGGGTGGTGAGATAGAGCAGTCCAGAGAGCCCGCGAACACACAATCTTCTGCGTGCATAGTTTTTTACAGCTGGCGTCCCTGGGTGGGCTCGAGCTACCAACTAAAGGTAAGAATTGCGTTCGGTGCGCCCCCACTGTAGAAAGTGAATGGGAGAATAGGATTTTTAGTTTGCTGGGAGTTAGAATCCTAACAGCAATCCCCCACTAAGATGGGACAGATTCTGGGCCTTCCCAAGATCTTTCGTAGTGTCTCGAGCCAGACTGAACAGGCCAAGACATTTATGGATTTGATTCAGCGTCTCTCCCGCAAGATAGGGAACCCAGAATTCTACAGTTCCAGAGACCAGCTCCGGTCCTGCTTTAAGGTAGTTTATGAAGTTAACCCATGGTTCCCAGATGAAGGGACTCTAGAAACCAAGATTTGGGAAAAAGTTAAGAAAAATGTCTATAAGGCATCTAAGGAAGGGACTAAGATTCCCCTAGAATTCTGGAATACCTGGGAGATTGTTGATTCTATTCTCCTGTTTTGGAAAAGCACAGTTGAGGAGGAGGAGACTATTAGCAATAATACGGCCTCAGCTCCTCCCCTACCTAAGTCTCCAAAGGGTTTTCATAGTGAAAATATTTCTCAGGCTGATGAATATAGCTTCACTTCCAATGCATCAGATGAAAGTGATATGGATTATGAGTCTGCTAGCACTTACTTGGATTATGAGTCCGAGAGTAACTCAGCAAAGCGGCCTCCAGACCGCTCGGGACATGATCCCAATCGCCCAGTACAGGCTGAGAAGAAGCAGCTTCCATCTTATCGCAGGTTAAGAATGGATTCTCTCGGTCGTTTCAAAAAGGCCTGTGCCTCATACGGGCCTACATCTCCGTACTGTAGGGAGTATCTTACAGACTGGAGTAAAAAGGCTTACTGGGTACCTCAAGATTTTCGCATGGTTGCTAAAACGTGCTTAAACCCTTCTCAGTACCTACAGTGGAGGATGTGGTTCAGTGATGAGGCCAAGGCAAAGCTTCAGAGCCTAGGCCAGGCTGGACGGAAATTTTCAGATATTAAGCTGACTTATGAGATGTTAATAGGTGAAGGGAAATGGCACGACCCAAAAAGGCAAGTCACCTTGCCTCGTGCTGTTTTTGCTCATATCTGTGACATAGCCCTGCATGCATGGGAGAAGATTGATGCAGATGCAGAATTTAAGGGAAGTTTTACTAAGATTGTCCAGAGGGCCTCAGAACCCTATGCAGATTTCATAGGGAGGTTGATGGAAGCTATTGAAATGCAGGTTAAGTGTAAGGAAGCTCAGGAGCTGTTGACTAAACAATTGGCCTTTGAAAATGCTAATGAGGATTGCCAGGCCATTCTGAGCCCTATCAAAGAGAAGGAAGATATAATGGGGTATTTGAAAGCATGTGGAAATGTTGGTTCTGTTAAATATAAGGTGCAGATGAAAGCTTTTGAGGCCTGTACTGTACAGAGGCAAGCTCAGAAAAGATGTTTTAATTGTGGAAAACCAGGCCACTTTCGTAAGGACTGCAGGGCACCTCCCAAACATACTATTGTGAGAGCACCTCCTGGGCCCTTTCCCAGGTATGAGAAGGGAAACTACTAGGCCAGAGACTGCAGAGCCAGACTTGCACCTCCCGGGCCCTGTCCCAGGTGTAAGAGAGGAAATCATTGGGCCAGAGACTGTCGCTTCAATTTTGATGCAGCTGTTGACCCCAATTCGGGAAACCTGCAAGGGCACCAGCCCCAGGTCCCGCAATATCAGGGGATGTTCCCAGCTGCAGCCCCTCTCCCCAGTGTGGAGTTTCAGAGCTCCAATCAGTATACTCCCTGCAGCCAATAACGGCAGGAAGCACAGCCTTGGATATTTCCTGCCCTGATACGGTTACTATAACCCCTACCCAATGTTACTACAAATCAAATTCTGGTGTAAAGGGACTAAACCCACAAGGCACTGTAGGCGCTACTTTTGGGGAAAAGCAGTTTGACTTTTAAGAGAATGCTGCGGCTTTAAGCACACCACCTCTCCATATTCAGTGGACATATGGCATGCTTAATAAAAAACGAAAAAGGAGGTATTTTCTCAACTGAATGTAGCAGGGAAACTCCTCATTCGAGGAAAAGGCTATGCTTTTGTTTCAACAGATGATAACCCCACTGAGAAACTTTGGATCCCATTACGTCTCATCAGAAGTTGAATTCATCCGCCTGAGTTGGATCTCCGACTGGCAGAGACTCACAACCCTTCAAATTCCAGCCCCAAACCATCTCCAAACTGATTTCAGCTGGAAGTCACAAAGGAAAGAAGAGGAACCTGCATCCAGCAAGGCCTCTAGCTCCTTTAACACATCATGAGTTCACATTAAGGCATTCCTTATACCTCTCTTTTACAGGTTGCGGATTGGACAACGCCAAGCCTCCACATTTTGAATTAACAAAACTTTACTTTTACCCCTTTCTTGGAATTCACAGATTCCTGAAGGAGAAAGGAATGACTTTTAACAGGAACACCTTTTCATTTCTCTCTAGGATATCCATTTGTATTGGAGCTTCCCTTTGTCTTTCTCTCTACTCACAGGCACAGAGACCAAACCCCGATGGTCAAGGTATCTGATAACTTTAAAAAAGTGTTTTCTCAAGCATAAACTAGGTTGCACATCTATGATTGTCGAGGAACCTGGCCGGATAATGGCTGCATTTCCCTACTGAAGTACTCCTGTCAGAAGTTGTGATGCTCCTGTTTCAGTGCTCCCCGGCTGATCCAGTGCTTCCTGAAATTTATCGGACCCCTAATAGCTGCTCCCCTGGGAATCATTGCTGCAACCACTCCTGATGCTGTTACAGGAACAACTCTTCAGTTTTGATCCAGACACTTTGTTTCTTCAGAATGGGACTAAATGACTCTCATCATTGGTGATTCTAATCACCCCTGGACAGTGCAGGACAATTGAACACTTTACTAGAAGCACTGCTCTAGGTCCAGGATTGGACTGAAATCTTGGTACAACTAATGAGACTGTCTTGTATTTGGAATTGTTTCTCTGTTTTAAATTTTGTGTTTTTTGTAAAAAAAAAAGGGGGGGAATCTTCCTGCAAACTCAGGTAGTTTAGGTTTATTGGGTTGCTCCCATCACAGTGCTCCCAATTCTCTGTGTTTATTTGTAACTTTCTTTGTGTTCTGTTGACTTGTAAATTATTGTTTTTCTCTTCTCCCTAAGTCCTTTACATAGTTTATTCAGAGCAGTGTTCTTTTTGTATGGACACAAGAAGACGTGCTTTTGTAATGTGACTCTCTGATATTTCATTCCTGGGCATCTGCTTTCTCAACTTAAGCCTCAGTTGCCCTCACTTCCTAGCACCCCTAAAGGCAGGGTCCCGACGAGGGACTGGATGGACCCAGGGCAAACTGTAAGCTATGTGCTACCCTGGCATCGAGATGGGCCTGGCCAAAGTGCCACAATGCTTAACTATAAGTTAAGAGCTTGGTCATGGACAAATGCTGTCATGATCCAGAAAGTAATAACTAGATTTGGACCCTGCTAGGGCTAGGAATGATTAATCTGGCCTGAGCACTGTAGTCTGAGTCTGTGGCAAGATGTTCCCAGGAGAGCTGCCCTACAAGTCTCAATGTTATCTCTTACTGTGTCCACACAAAAATAGCTAGCAATTTTTCCTATTTCAAATTTTGTGTTTTTGTAAAAAGAAAAAGGGGGAGATGTAGGATAAACTGCCAGTAAGATCAACCGGCCTGGCCCTGGTCTCTTCCTTCATCTGCACTTGGCCAACAGCCGTCCCGATGCAGGCCACACACAGCGGCTCTAGGGCACCGAACGCGGGCGGTGAGATAGAGCCGTCCAGAGAGCCCGCGAACACACAACCTTCTGCGTGCATAGTTTTTTACAGTAGTCTAATTAATACCATCTATGCCCATGCACGGAGGAGCAGACAGAGCAACAGCAAATCAGCATTAATTTTTTTATGACCTCTGACCTATTGAAACACTAGTAACCTTACAATATTACTTAAATAAAGACTTTTTTTTAAATTTTGGGTCATTCTCGGGGATGCACGAGGGTTACTCCTGGTTCATTCACTCAGGAATAACTCCTGGTGGTGCTCATGGGACCTATGGGATGCTAGGAATCAAACCCGGGTCGGACCCATGCAACGCAAACGCCCTACCTGCTGTGCTATCGCTCCAGACCCAACCAGAGACTGAGACTTCTTTTATAGTAATTTATCTGCATTCAACCACCACTGAAAATTTTAGAAGGGTACAGGCAATTCTGATGTGCCAAGTGGCCAGGAAAAAAAGACATTGCAGAATTTGTCTGCTGTGGGACGGAAGAGCTAGTACACTGAGGTGGGCGCTTGCCTTGTACGTAGGCAAGGGATGCACCCGGGTTCGATCCCCCGCATCCCGTATGCTACCGGAGCCCACCAGGAATGATTTCTGGAGGCAGAGCCAAGAATAAACTCTGACCACTGCTCAGTGTGACCTCCTGCCCTCTCTGCTACAACCAATGACAACTTTTTTCAGAGGTGAGGGAAGGCCACATCCAGATGACGTTGGTGGCGACCATATGGTGCCGGAGATGAACCTTGGGCCCCTTGTTTGCAAAGCCAGTGGTGCTGCCCACTGAGCTCTCTCCCTACTTCTATACTAACTTCGAAGCAGACAGCCCACCTCTACCAACATGCTGCTTCCCTATAAAAAGAAATGCACTGGTCTGTGCTGTCCACATGGTGGCCACTGCCTGGGGGTGTGTAAGCATGTGACGAGACCATTAAGAAAAATATGGGTCTAGGGAGGTGCGGGGGGAGGTGATGAAGAGCTACGACAGGGGTTACAACTGGCCTGCACCCCAAACACCTCAGTTTGAACACCCAGCACCACATATGGTCCACCAGGCACAGGGGAGAAACAGCCTTAAAAACAACCCACAACAACCCCAAACACTTGAAAAATTCATCAGCCAAGGGATTAGCACAGGGCTTGATTCTTGGATCCATATGGCATCCTGAGCATTGCTGGGTACAGCCAGGAAGCAACCAATACTACTGGTATGGCCCTGTGGGCCGTAGCACTGACCACTACTAGCCCGATTGGCCAATAATCAGAGCGGTCCCTAGGCCCCCCAGCACAGGAGGCACACGACCCCCACCACCAAAAATTAGAAAAATACAAAGTCTTACCAGCCCACATATGGCGTTAGTCAATTTTTTAAATTTTTTGCTTCTGAAGTTACTTGTAGAATCATCTAATAAGGAATACATGTCTGGATCTAGAAACCTTTAAACATGAGAGATTGGTGAATGAAAGAATCCTAAACACTAACTTTGTAGACTGACAATCGAAGTGAAATGAAAAAGGTTCAGCACTGCAAAGGAGACCTTAATTATAGTGAACTTACTTCTCAATTTCCTTTTTAGCTCTTTTACTCAGCAGGTCCATTTTCATCATGATGTTAACTTGCGGGATTTCTAGAGATACCATAGCACTCAAGGCTGCCAAGATGCCAGAAACAAACTGAAAGAGGAAGCAGGAAAGGGACGATGAATCAGTTGTCACCAACAGTGTCCACATAAAAGGTTTCTGATCCCCACTGGAACAAAACCCACCTAAATAGGAGAAACGCTAAGATTGGGGCCCGAGCAAGAGTCCAGGCTTTAAGGCGCTTGCCTTGCGCCTGGTCAGCCCAGGTTCTAGCCCAACGCTCCACAGGGTTCCCAGAGCACTACCTAAGTTATTCCTCAGCCCAGCTCCAGTAGTGAGCCCTGAGCACTGCCAGGCATGGCCGAACAGAAGACTGCTGGGCCAATAGCTGACCTTAGGATTCTAAAGGTGAGATGGGAAGGAGAACCGCGATCTACAGTGACCATACTTCTCCACTCAACAATATTTTAGAGTGTTCAGGAGGTAGCTGGGGTTGAGTTCAGCACTGAGGAAACATGTAGTGACAGGGATTAAAAGCAGGTGGGCCACATCAAGGAGAGCACCTTAAGCCCTTTACTATTTTTTTTTTGGGGGGGGGGTGGTAATACCTGGCAATGCACAGGGGTTACTCCTGGCTCTGCACTCAGGAATTACTCCTAGTGGTGCTCAGGGATGCTAGGAATCGAACCCGGATTGGCTGTGTGCAAGGCCCTACCCGCTGTACTATCACTCCAGCCCCCATTTTTAAAATTTACTTTTTTATTTATTTTTGGGAAGCGCTGTACTATTTCTGACCCTTTAACGTTATCTTCTCTCATGCTCCCTCTCCACCACCCCTGATGGGCGTTTCCTTTTGGGTTTCTGGGTCACACAATCCCCTGATATAACTAGTGGGTCACTTCTGCTTCTGTACTCAGGAATTACTCCTGAGCAGCTTTGGGAACCATATGGGTGCTGGAGACGGAACCAAACGCCCTCCCTTTCAGTTTTGGGGAATACCCAGTAGTACTCTGAGCTTTGTGATCAAGGATCACTCCTGGAGCGGCTAAGGGGGCCCGGTGGCAGTACGGCAGGGATGACACCCAGGCTGGCCACATGCAAGGCAAGAGCTCTACCCACTGTACTATCTCTCCAGCCTCCAGCTTTCTTTTTTTCCCTAGTTTTGGAGCCACACACAGTGGTGCTTGGGACTTACTTCTGACACCGCCCTGGGACGACTCCTGAAGGCGACAGCTGAGAGTTGGGGACCACTAGAACTGCACAAGGGGCAAACTCAGGGCCTCGAACATGCCAGCTCTGTGCTCTGCCACTGGAGCCATCTTCTTGGCATATTAATTTAACAAAAAATGAGTTCTAAGTCACTCCTGGGTATTGTTCAGGAACTGGTAACAATTAAACGATTATTACTAAAGGTTTTTGTACTCTGCTTGTGCCGGAGACTGAAAAATCAAGGACAGGTATAGTTAAAAAACCTTGAACGACTCCGCCATGAATTGAGAATCAACAAGAAACACTCCACAGACTCGGAACACCCACAGTTCCAGCTGCTGAACCAGCTGTTTCATCACGGGCAGGTGTGTGTGCAACTCAATCTGACCTACAAGAACACAAGCTTATTATAAACATGAGATACATTCAACCCTCAATTATGGGGAAAAAAAACTTTTCCTAGAAACTGTTTTAGGGGGCTTGAGAGATCGCATAGAGGGTGGGAACTTGCCTTGCACACAGCCAACCTGGGTTCGATCCCATAGGGTCCCTTGAGCATAGCCAGGAGTAATTCCTGAGCACAGGAGCTAGGAGTAACCCCTGAGCATCATCAGATACGGCACCCGCGGTCCCCCCCCAATATTTTTTAAAGGAAGTCAATCCCTACAAGTAATATATCCAATTTTTCTTGTTTTAAGCCGCACGTGGGGATGCTTGAGGGTCTCTCTGAAACTTCTGGGAGGGCTCGAAGCTACTCAGAGTCCTACATGCAAAGCCTACTACATGCAAGGCCCACTACATGTAAAGTATGTCCCCAGCACACTATATCTCTAGGCCCTATACTATATTCAATTTTGTTTTTTTTTGGGGGGGGGGGGACAACCTGATTGTGCTCAGGGCTTATTCCTGATTCTGTGCTCAGGGATGACTGTTGACAGACTCCAGTAACCATATAGGGTAGCAGGGATCACCTTAGCTGTGTTCTAGGCAAGTGCCCTACCCACTGTAGTATGTCTCTGGGTCCCCCAATATTTTTTTTTCATTTTGGGTCACACCTGGCGATGCGCAGGGGTTACTTCTGGCACTGAATTCAGGAATTACTCCTGGCAGTGCTCGGGGGACCATATGGGATGCTGGGGTTCCGGGTCAGCTGCATGCAAGGCAAACGCCAAACCCATTGTACTATCACACCAGCTCCCCTTGCCCCCCACGCAATTTTTTAAGCAACTCTGGGTGCACATGTATAAAAGGGGCATACAAAGAAAATATACTGTCATCATCATCATCACTGTTCTCCTGTTCATCGATTTGTTCGAGCAGGCCCAGTAACATCTCCATTGTGACAATTGTTCCTGTATTTGGCATATCGAATATGTCACGAGGAGCTTGCCAGGCTCTGTTGTGCAGGTGATTCTCTTCGGTAGCTTGCTGGGCTCTCTAGGAGGGGCAGAGGAATCGAACCCGAGTCGGCCATGGTGGCTGGTTGCACTACAATGATTAAAAATGAGTTTAAAACGGGCTGGAGTGATAGCTCAGCGGTAGGGCATTTTCCATGCACGCAGCCGGCCCGGCCAAACCGGGTTCAACTCCTCTGCCCCTCTCGGAGAGCCCGGCAAGCTACCGAGAAGATCTTGACCACATGGCAAAGCCTGTCAAGCTACCTGTGACGTATTCGATATGACAAACACAGTAACAACAAGTCTCACGATGGAGAAGTTACTGGGCCTGCTCATGCAAATCAATGAACAGCGGGAGGACAGCCACAGGGATTTCATTTATTTATTTATTTACTATTATTATTATTATTTTTTTTTTTTTTTTTTGCTTTTTGGGTCACACCCGGAGATGCTCAGGTGTTACTCCTGCATCTGCACTCAGGAACCACTCCTGGCGATGCTCAGGGGACAATATGCGATGCCGGGATTCGAACGTGGGTCGGGCACGTGCAAGGCAAACGTCCTACCCCGCTGTTCTATTGCATCACTCCAGCCCCGACAATGACAGATTTTAAAACAAATTTTTATTCTCTTATTTTGAGGGGAGGAGGTTTGGGCCACACCCACTGGTATTCGGGGAGGAATCTTGACTCTGTACTAAAAGACAATTCCTGGCAGTGCTTGGGGAATCCAATATGGTACCAGGGATCCAAACCTGGAATAGCAAAAAGTAAGCCAAGGGCTTTAGCTGCTGTACTATGGCCCTAAAAAAAAAAAAAAAACCTTGGTTTTGGCCCATACCCACTAGTACTCATGGAACCATATATGGTGCCAAGGACTGAACCTCTGTCTGCCGCAGCATCCTACCCATCCTTCTGTCTCTCTAGCTCTAAAGCAAACCTTTCAAGAGCTGCATGACCAGAGCTGAAGTGATAGCACAGCAGGTAGGGCATCTGCCTTGCATGCAGCCGACCCGGGTTCGATTCCCAGCATCCCATATGGTCCCCTGAGCACTACCAGGAGTGACTCCTTAGTGCAAAGCAAGGAGTAACTCCCAAGCATCGTCAGGTGAGACCCATAAATCAAAATAACAATAATAATAATAATAATAATAAAGCTGCATGACCTGGCGCCCAAGAAACAACAGGCTGAGCATATGCTCTGCATGCAGAAAGCCTGGGCTCAGTTCCCAGCATGCTTTGGTCCCTCAAGCAGGGCTGGGAGCAACCTCCTGATAATGGAGTTAGGAACAGCCTCAGCCCCCAGCACCTCTAGATGTGGCCCCCAAACAGAAGAAAACAAAAAGACATTCCACAGCCCCTCATGGTATGACAGTCCACTGTCCAAGAATCTGGGATAAAAGTAAATGAGATGCTAATTTCACTTTCTCCCACCAAGGACAGAACTGCACAACCCAGGGAAGGTGACAATCTAATTACTGAGCTACCTGGAGAGTCAAAAAGGATGTAGTCATCCTCGACATGGCCAAGGCAGTTCTCCAGCCACTCAAAGTTATTGGCAAAGTTCTCCATGCAAAAAACCAGTCCTCCATTGGGACCGAAGCGCAGGGAGCCTCCCTCCATCACATCATCCACATCGATCAGTTCCCGGATGTCTGCATAGAATAAACAGGAAATAAGTGCCCATTCCAAAATATTTACATTCACTAGTAATTATTACAACTGAGACTGTATCCAAAAAAATTGAACAGGGGCTAGAAAGAAAAAACAAGAAACAAAAACAAAAAGACACCAAACAGGGGCCTGAGGAATAGAACAGCGGGTACTGCCCTTGTCTTGCCTGTGGACAACCCAGGTTCAATCCTTGGCACCTTATATAGTTCCTCAGCCTGACCAGGAGTGATTCCTGAGCACAGGTCCAGAAGTACTGAACATAGCTGAGTGTGGCCCAAACCCACCCCACCCATCAATAAAAGAAAAAAAATAAAACAAATAAATTGCAGTAGTCAAGGGATCAGTCTGAACGAAGTTTTCAGCTTCTGTGCCTCCCCAGAAGCAGGGGGCAGCACTCACTGCCTCAGGGCCCCCAAGGAGAGGGAAGGCTGCGCCCTGGACTCACCAGCCATCACATCATAGTTGAAATGCTCTGCCGCGGGGTCTAAGTTCACCACCTGGACAGAACGGCCGAGGGCTTCACAGAGCTGGACCATGGTGGCACAGTAGGTGCTCTGTGGACCGGGAGGCAGGAGGGGACAGAGCTTCAGGCAGACCCAACACCACCAGAAGAACCCCCACAGCCCCTGGTCAGTGTCTGCTGAGGCCCAAACTAAGCCTTAATCCCCGGGACTGGGCATCAGGGAACACCATGCAGTGCAGATCCAGCCCTACCTTGGCCACACTGACCTCGGGCCAGTGGCCTCTTCCCGGCCAGTGTCCTTATCCCTGGGAGATGGTCTCCTCGCGCTATCAGGTGCGCTAAGTATGACTGAAAGGGAAGATTTCTCCCCCGCCCTTGATTTTGGGGACACAGCCAGCGGTATTTAGAGAGGTCTACATCGTTTGGAGATCAAAGCCAGATTGGGTGTGTGCAAGGCCCTGCATGCTCAACCTTTCTGGATTCAATTTCTCTTTGCAAATGAGAATAGGGTCTGGAGCGTAGCACAGCGGCCAGGGAGTTTGCCTTGCACTCAGCTGACCCGGGTTCGATTCCCAGCATCCCCAGCATCCTATATGGTCCCCAAGCACCGCCAGGAGTGATTCCTTAGTGCAAAGCCAGGAGTATCCCCTGTGTAGTGCCAGGTATGATCCAAAAACAAAGGCTGTGGAACTAAAGGGGCCCTGGTGTGGGGACACGGAGAGTCCAGAGAGCAGGACACTCCCCTCGCACAAGGCTGTCTCTCTTTCAATCCCTGGACCATCCTGGAAGCCTGCCAGGAGTGATCCCTGAGCACAGAGCCAGGAGTCAGCCCTGAGCACCACTGGATGTGATCCCAAAAGCAAAATAATGCGGGAGCTCATACTCCAAAAGTACTGTACCCCGTTTGACAGGATTCAAAGTAGCAGGCAACCAATCTTAGAGGGAAATATATATATTTATATATACACACACACACATATATATATACTTTATATATGTATATATATAAACACAAGTTTCAACCTTTTACAACATGTTAGTGATCTCTTAGAGAAGGGCTAAATGGCCCCTGGGTAGAATACACACTCTTTCCTCTAAGGATACTTTTTTTATAGGATTTTCAGAGATTTTTTTTGTTTGTTTGTTTTCGGGTAACACCTGCCGATGCACAGGAATTTCCCCTGGCTCTGCACTTAGGAATTATCCCTGGCTAATGGTGCTCAGGGGACCATATGGGATGCTTGGAATCGAACCCAGTTTCGCCGCGTGCAAGGCAAACGTCCTACCCACTGTGCTATCACTCCAGCGCCCTGGCAGTTTTTCATATCAAGCAATACAAGAGAATAGATTCTTTGAGTTCTGCTTTGGGACAGGGTTTAAGGTTCGGGATGGAACTATCCGAAATATGGTGGTGAGAAGGTGTAATGGTGGTGGGATTGGAGTCTGAGTATTGAATGTAATCAAATATTGTAAAAAACTTTATAAAATTAAAAAATTGGGGGGTTGGAGCGATATGACAGTGGGCAGGGCATTTGCCTTGCAAGTGGCCGGCAAGGTTCGATTTACAGCATCCCCAATGGTCCTCTGAACACCACCAGGAGTAATTCCTGAGTGCTGAGCCAGGAGGAACCCCTGGGCATCACCGGGTGTGACCCAAAAAGCAAAAAGAAATAATAATAATACTAATAATAATTTTAAAAAATGAGGGTGTTAACGAATAAGTTATTGCGCCATAAACCCTCTCTCCTCTTCCCCCAGAGCCCTGGCTGCCCAGCCCCCACCAACTCCCATTTTCTTTTTTTTTCTTAAATTTAATTTCATTTTTAAAATATTTAATTTTTTAAATTTTTCCATTTAAATTTTTTTTTAATTTTTTACTTACTTTTTTTTTTATTAGTGAAACACCATGAGATACAGTTGCAGATTTACAATTTTTTGTGCTTGGGTTTCGATTATACAATGATCAGATACCCATCCCTCCACCAGTGCCCATTTTCCACCACCATGGATAATATCCCCCCCACCCCCATCCCCCCATCCCCCCCTGTCTCTGTGGCAGGGCAATCCCCTGTGTTCTCTCACTCCTTTTGGGTGTTGTGGTCTGCAAAAGAGGCATTGAGTGGCAAACATGTTCAGTCCATAGTCTACTTTCGACATGCATCTCCCCTCCTGGGAGGATCCTCCAAACACCCTTTATTTGGTGCTGCCTTCTCTATCTGAACTGCCCTTTCCTCTAGAATACCCGGCTGGCCTCTAAGTTAAGGAGTAATCCTCCTGGTGCTGATCTCAGCTATTCTTGGGTATTAATCTCATACTTTGTTACTTTATATCCCCCAGATGAATGCAATCTTTCTATGTCTATCCCTCTCTTTCTGACTCATTTCGCTTAGCATGATACTTTCCATATTGTACCACTTGTATGTAAATTTCATGATTTCATCTTTTCTAAGAGCTACATAGTACTCCATTGTGTAGATGTACCAAAGTTTCTTTAACCAGTCATCTGTTCTTGGGCATTCAGCTTTCTTCCAGTTTCTGGCTATTGTAAAGAGTGCTGCAATGAACAAACAAGTGCGGATGTCACTTCGACTATACATTTTTGCCTCTCTGGGATATATTCCCAGGAGTGGTATTGCTGGGTCAAAGTGATCAAAGTAGAGAGAGAGAGTAATGTGATCAAAGTAGAGAGAGAGTAATGTGTAAATCATCTGCCCCACAGGTATAGGGAGGGTGTGGGAATGGGGTATATTGGGGATTTTGGTAGTGGAGAGTGGGCACTAGTGAAGGTACGGGTGTTTCATTGCATGACTGAGACTTAGACCCGAAAGCTTTGTAACTGCTCTCATGGTGATTCAATAAAGACAATGATAAAAAATGAAAAAAAAGAGAGTAAGGTGGAGTTCATGCCCAATTCAATCACCTAATCAGTGGCCGAATAAATAGCAGTACACCTACATTTAAAAAAAAAGGAAAATAACATTTTAGCAGCACATTCTTTCAAGTGGCTTCTCCCTGCTCTCCCCAGGGTCTTGAGTTCACCACATGGACAGGACTTGTGGGAAGAGGGAGAGCAGCAGCAGCCCAGAGGGGGCTGCACACAGAGCAAGCCCTGCTGCAGGACCACAGCTGACCTGTCCTCGCTGTGATGCACTCGATGACATCACCGACCTCTCTTTGTGATGCAATCAGACATTCTGCAGCCTCCCCAACTGCCCCCATACTCATTACTTGGTTCACTGCGGAAACGCATAGACAGCAAACATGTTTTGCTGCTTACCAAGAAATCGTGGTTGTAAAACCCCCAAGTGTAGGACACTGAAAAGAATCAGAAACTGGGTGAGGACTCATTGGAGAACTCCCCGGATTTCTTCACGAGGACAGCCGCTAGTTCAGGTCAGCAGGAACTGGCCCGGGCACCCCGAGCACTGCTGACCGTGATCAGTCTTCATCACCTCCCTGAGAGTGATGGCGCAGAAGCTGTGTGTGGAAGAGTGTGCACACCCGTGTGTGAACGTGTATCGGAGAGGGTAAATTTGAGTGTGTACTGGAGATCGTGTGTGTATGTGTATTTGTGTATGTACGTGTGTCTGTGTGTGTGTTGTGAGATCATCTTGAGGGCAGCCTCTCCTACCAGGTTAGTCATCAAATCTAGCCCCCAAGGCCAGGTCACTGCTCACTGAGTTGGCACTAGGAGGTGCTCTTGGGCCAAGACTTTTCTAAACTTGATTGTTTCAATCCCATTCCTATGGGAGGCCTGTGTAGATGCAGGTCCACCAGCAGGGAGGAACTCAGAAGGGAGGGGGCAGCAGCGCTTCTGGAGCTGAGCCTTTGTGGTTCTCCCTCCGCAGAGCAGCCCACAGGAGAGAGAGACGCTCCCTCCGCAGAGCAGCCCACAGGAGAGAAAGAAGATCTTCTACATATCCTCTGGGTCCAGTTCCTCTGAAGAAAGTCTGGAATCAGCCAGCAACAAGCAGAGCCAGACACCATCTAAGCAGAAAGTTGAGATTGGCCAAGGATTGTCAACTCCCCAAAGAGCACCGCGTTCAGTGCCTTGGCCTTACACATATGGCAGAGAACGAGACTCAGAGCACCAGAAGAAAACGGGTAAGAACCAAGGGGTGTGTATATATGCACAAGTAAATGGGGAATGCGAAAAGGCCCACCTAGAGGTGTCCTGGGCGCTGGTGTGGGAAAGGAGAGTCACAGGCCGGAGAGCCCATTCTGGGGAGGCCTCCACAGGAAACCCCCGTGAGGTGGGCCCATGGTCTCCCTTTCCTGCTGGGCTCCCTGTTGGGGTCAGCTTTGGAGAATCCATGGAAGGAGCCATCTGGGTGACCTTATCTCTTATTGATTCCTTAGCTCCTGCTGTGAAAGCATACTTGGCTCCGTGTCGACGGACAGCGCCGTCTCTGATCTCTCCAGTACCAGCTGCACGGCCACCCGCTGTGGCAACATTGGACCAGTTCCCAGAAGACCTAGCATGGTTACAACTGGAAGAAGCCCAGGGTCTCACATCAGTGTCTCTCTCTGGAGACCCTCCCACCAATGAGTATCTTGCCTCGGTATATTTTATGATTTGTATTCTTTGTTTTTACTTTCTCTGTTATATTTTCATTTAAATAAATTGTGATTGCTACTCTTCACAAGCATCCAGTTGCATTTTTTTCTTTTTCTTTTTTCGGTTTTTGGGTCACACCCGGAGAGCACAGGTGTTACTCCTGGCTCTTCACTCAGGAATTACTCCTGGCGGCGCTTGGTGGCCCATATGGGATGTTGGGATTCGAAACCAGGTCTGTCGCGTGCAAGGGAAATGCCCTACCTACTGTGCTATCACTCCAGCCCCGCATCCAGTTGCATCATAACATACTCTTCATTTGTTCTGGCATTCTTGAAAATATTCATCCAACATAGAAGACAACTCATCTTCATAAAACACAAATTAGAAAATTCATTGATTTCTCCGCAGACCCAGTATGTATTGACCTACTGTTCAGGCAATGCTCTATAATACCCAGTAGTAGTGCTAATAGATATTCACTAACAAAATTGGGGCGAACGAGACAGCACAGGGGGTGGGGCACTTACCTTTCCTGAACCGGGGGCCCAAAGCACCATCAGGTTCTGGAGCACAAAAGCCACGTAATCTCCAACCAGGGTTTTGGTTCACTGTATCACTGTCCTCCCATTGTTCTTCAATTTGCTCGAGCGGGTCCAGTAACGTCTCCATTGTAGACTTTGTTGTTACTTTGTTTGGCATATCAAATACGTCATGGGTAACTTGCCAGGCTCTGCAGTGCGGGCGAAATACTCTCGGTAGCTTGCCGGGCTCTCTGAGAGGGGTGGAGGAATCGAACTCGGGTTGGCCATGTTGGCTGTGTGCAAGGCAAACGCCCTACCGCTGTGCTATATATATATCAACACACAAGGCTCAACCTTTTACAACATGTTAGTGATCTCTTATAGAAGGACTTAACGGCCCCTGGGTAGAATACACACTCCTTCCTCTAAGGATACTTTTTTTATAGGATTTTCAGCGATATTTTTCGGAGGGGTCATACCTGTCTATACACAGGAATTTCTCCTGGCTCTGCACTCAGGAATTATCCCTGGCTAATGGTGCTCAGGGGACCATATGGGATGCTTGGAATCGAACCCAGTTTCACCGCATGCAAGGCAAACGTCCCACCCACTGTGCTATCACTCCAGCGCCCTGGCAGTTTTCCATATCAAACAATACAAGAGAATAGATTATTTCAGTTCTGCTTTGGGACAGGGATTGGGGTTCGGGATAGAGCTACCCGAAATATGGTGGTGAGAAGGTGTAATGGTGGTGGGATTGGAGTCTGAATATTGAATATAATCAAATATTGTAAAACACTTTATAAAATAAAAAAATTGGGGAGTTGGAGCGATATGACAGTAGGCAGGGCATTTACCTTGCAAGTGGCCGGCGAGGTTTGATTCCCAGCATCCCCTATGGTCCTCTGAGCACCACCAGGAGGAATTCATGAGTGCAGAGCCAGGAGGAACCCCTGCACATCACCGGGTGTGGCCCAAAAGGAAAAATAATAATAATAATAATAATAGTTTTTAAAAATGAGGGTGGTAGGGAATAAGTTATTGCACAATTAACAGTCTCTGCTCTTCCTCCAGAAACCCAGCCGCACGGCTCCCCACCAAATCCCATTTTCTTTTCTTAAATTTAATTTTATTTTTAAAATTTTTAAGTTTTGGAATTTTTCCATTTTTAATTTGTTTCTTTAAATTTTTTACTTTTTAATGAATCACTGATAATCACTTGATTATCACACCAAGCTCCCGGGAGAGAACAAGGCGGAGACTCCTACCTCGTGCCTGACTGTCCTCACCAGGGCCAACAGCAGAAGACGTCTGGCGTAAGGCCAAAGTCATGCTGAGACCAGTCTCCACACGCTTCGATGGGCTTCACGCATAAAGGAACTGGCAGAGGAACCCAGGTGTGGGGTACCCGGGGCTGAGATCTCCAAGCCTACACGGTTTGGAACTGGACCTTCCAGTAGCTAGACAGTTACACCCACCAACTGCTGTGTAACCTGAACAACTGCCAGGATACATAGATTATCACACCAAGCTCCCAGGACTTTTTATTTATGTTTATTTATTTATATTTTGGTTACTCATTTTTTTCTGGTTTTGGTTTTGAGTTCTTGAGCCACACCCAGAGATCAGCCAGAACGGGCCAGGTTCTTGCTGCCCCCAAGACTTTAACTTAAGGAGCTGCTTAGATCAAACAGGAGGGCAGAGGTGTTCAGGGCAATCCTGGCTCTGTGCTCAGGGACCAGACATGAAATGGGGAACTGACCCAGCGTCAGCCGAGGGGAGGCAGAGAATGGTCTTTCCCTCTGCGCCGGTCTCTGGCCCTGGCAAATCTAAATCATCAGAAATTACCTTGGGTTCCTTGAATTCCACGTCTTCTCCGTACTGAATGGTAAAATCAATATGCTGTAATACAATGTTCATGCTTTCTTCTTCGGACTGATCGTAAGGCAAAAGTCGGACCATGCTCTAGTAATCATTGTACAAATTAGAGATTTCAGAAAGGTCATTCAACTGATGCTTGAGTGTGAACATTGGTAGTCTAATTAATACCATCTATGCCTGTGCAGGGAGGAGCAGACAGAACAATAGCAAATCAGCATTAATTTTTTTATGACCACTAACCTATTGGAACACTAGTAACATTACAACATTACTTAACTAAAGACTTTTTGGAGCGATAGCACAGCGGTAGGGCGTTTGCCTTGCACGCAGCCAACATGGCCGACCAGAGTTCGATTCCTCCGCCTCTCTTGGAGAGCCCGGCAAGCTACCGAGAGTATCTCGCCCGCACGGCAGAGCCTGGCAAGCTCCCCGTGACGTATTCGATATGCCAGACACAGTAACAACAAAGTCTCCTATGGAGACGTTACTGGGCCCGCTCGAGCAAATTGAAGATCAACGGGAGGGCCTTTACTTTAATTTACTTTACTTTACTTTACTTTACACCTGGTGATGCACAGGGGTTACTCCTGGTTCCTGTACTCAGGAATAACTCCTGGTGATGCTCAGGGGACCTATGGATGGTAGGAATCAAACCCGGGTCGGACGCATGCACGCATACGTCCTACCTGCTGTGCTATCGCTCCAGACCCAACCAGAAATTGAGAATTCTTTTAAAGTAATTTATCTGCATTCAACAACCACTGAAAATTTCAAAAGGGTACAGGCAATTCTCATGTGCCAAGTGGCCAGGAAAAAAAGACATTGCAGAATTTCTCTGCTGTGGGACGGGAGAGCTCGTACACTGAGGTGGGCGCTTGCCTTGCACATAGGCAAAGGATGCACCCGGGTTCGATCCCCCGCATCCCGTATGCTCCCTGAGCCCACCAGGAATGATTTCTGGAGGCAGAGCCAAGAATAAACTCTGACCACTGCTCAGTGTGACCTCCTGCCCTCTCTGCTACAACCAATGACAACTTTTTTCAGAGGTGAGGGGAGGCCACATCCAGACAACGCTGGTGGCGACCATATGGTGCCAGAGATTAACCCTCGGCCCCTTGTGTGCAAAGCCAGTGGTGCTGCCCACTGAGCTATCTCCCTACTTCTATACTAACTTCGAAGCAGACAGCCCACTGCTCCCAACATGCTGCTCCCCTATAAAAAGAAATGCGCCTGTCTGTGCCGTCCATAAGGTGGCCACTGCCTGGGGGTGTGTAAGCATGTGACAAGACCATTAAGAAAAATATGGGTCTAGGGGTTGTGGGGGGAGGTGATGAAGAGCTACGACAGGGGTTACAACTGGCCCAACCCACACACCTCAGTTTGAACACCCAGCACCACATATGGTCCACCAGGCACAGGGGAGAAACAGCCCCTGAGCACCACCGGGTGTGGCCCTCAAACCTTAAAAACAACCCACAACAACCCCAAACACTTGCAAAACTCATCAGACCAGGGATTAGCACAGGGCTTCATTCTTGGCACCAGATGGCATCCTGAGCATTGTTGGGTACAGCCAGGAAGCAACCAATACTGCTGGTATGGCCCTCTGGGCCCCAGCACTGACCACTACTAGCCCGGTTGGCCAATAATCAGAGTGGCCCCTTGGCCCCCCAGCACAGGAGGCCCACCCCCCAACCACCAAAAATTAGAAAAATACGAAGTCTTACCAGCCCACATATGGCATTAGTCAATTTTTTGAATTTTTTGCTTCTGAAGTTGCTTGTAGAATCATCTAATAAAGGATACATGCCTGGATCGAGAAACCTTCAAAAATAATAGACTGGAGAAGCAAAGAATTCGAAACACTAAATTTGTAGACTGACAATCGAAGTGAAACGAAAAAGGTTCAGCACTGCAAAGGAGACCTTAATTATAGTGAACTTACTTCTCAATTTCCTTTTTAGCTCTTTTACTCAGCAGGTCCATTTTTGTCATGATGTTAACTTGCGGGATTTCTAGAGATACCATAGCACTCAAGGCTGCCAAGATGCCAGAAATAAGCTGAAAGAGGAAGCAGGAAAGGGACGATGAATCAGTTGTCCCCAACAGTGTCCACATAAAAGGTTTCTGATCCCCACTGGAACAAAACCCACCTAAATCGGAGAAACGCTAAGATTGGGGCCCAAGCAAGAGTCTAGGCTTTAAGGCGCTTGCCTTGCGCCTGGTCAGCCCAGGTTCTAGCCCAGCACTCCACAGGGTTCCCAGAGCACTACCTAAGTGATTCCTCAGCACAGCGCCAGTAGTGAGACCTGAGCACTGCCAGGCTGGGCCTAACAGTAGACTCCTGGGCCAATAGCTGACCTTAGGATTCTAAAGGTGAGGTGGGAAGGAGAAACGCGATCTACAGTGACCACACTTCTCCACTCAACAATATTTTAGAGTGTTCAGGAGGTAGGTGGCGTTGCGTTCAGCACTGAGGAAACATGTAGTGACAGGGATTAAAAGCATGTGGGCCACATCAAGGCGAGCTCCTTAAGCCCTTTACTATTTTTTTTGTGGGGGGGAGGGTGGTAATACCTAGCAATGCACAGGGGTTACTCCTGGCTCTGTACTCAGGAATTACTCCTAGTGGTGCTCAGGGATGCTAGGAATCGAACCCGGATTGGCTGTGTGCAAGGCCCTACCCGCTGTACTATCACTCCAGCCCCCATTCTTAAAATTTACTTATTTATTCATTTTTGGGAAGCGCTGTACTATTTCTGACCCTTTAACATTATCTTCTCTCATGCTCCCCCTCCACCTCCCCTGATGGGTATTTCCTTTTGGGTTTCTGGGTCACAAAATCCCCTGATATAACTAGTGGGTCACTTCGGCTTCTGCACTAAGGAGTTACTCCTGACCAGCTTTGGGAACCATATGGGTGCTGGAGACGGAACCAAACGCCCTCCCTTTCAGTTTTGGGGCATACCCAGTAGTACTCTGAGCTTTGTGGTCAAGGATCACTCCTGGAGCGGCTAAGGGGGCCCAGTGACAGTACGGCAGGAATGACACCCAGGCGGGCCACATGCAAGGCAAGAGCTCTACCCACTGTACTAACTCTCCAGCCTCCAGCTTTCTTTTTTTCCCTAGTTTTGGAGCCACACACAGTGGTGCTTGGGACTTACTTCTGACACTGCCCTAGGACAACTCCTGAAGGCGACAGCTGAGAGTTGGGGACCACTAGAACTGCACAAGGGGCAAACTCAGGGCCTCAAACATGCCAGCTCTGTGCTCTGCCACTGGAGCCATCTTCTTGGCATATTAATTTAACAACAATAAGTTCTAAGTCACTCCGGGTTTAGTTCATGAACTGGTAACAATTAAACGATTATGACTAAAAGTATTTGTACTCTGCTTGTGCCGGAGACTGAAAATCAAGGACAGGTATAGTTTCAAACCTTGAACGACTCCACCATGAATTGAGAATCAACAAGAAATAATCCACAGGCTCGAACTCCCACTGTTCCAGCTGCTGAACCAGCTGTTTCATCACGGGCAGGTGTGTGTGCAACTCAATCTGACCTACAAGAACACAAGCTTATTATAAGCATGAAATATATTCAACCCTCAATTATGGGATAAAAACTTTTCCCAGAAACTGTTTTAGGGGGCTTGAGAGATCGCATAGAGGGTGGGAACTTGCCTTGCACACAGCCAACCTGGGTTCGATCCCATAGGGTCCCTTGAGCACAGCCAGGAGTACTTCCTGAGCACAGGAGCTAGGAGTAACCCCTGAGCTTCATCAGATACGGCACCCGCGGTGCCCCCCAAATTTTTTAAAGGAAGTCAATCCCCAGAAGTAATATATTCAATTTTGCTTGTTTTAAGCCGCACGTGGGGATGCTTGAGAGTCTCCCCGAAACTGCTGGGAGGGCTCGAAGCTACTCAGAGTCCTACATGCAAAGCCTACTACATGCAAGGCCCACTACATGTAAAGCATGTCCCCAGCCCACTATATCTCTAGCCCCTACACTATATTCAATTTTTGTTTGTTTTTTGTTTGGGGGACAACGTGATAGTGCTCAGGGCTTATTCCTGATTCTGTGCTCAGGGATGACTCTTGGAAGGCTCCAGGAACCATATAGGGTAGCAGTGATCACCTTAGCTGTGTTCAAGGCAAATGCCCTACCCACTGTAGTATCTCTCTGGCTCCCCCAATATTTTTTTTTCATTTTGGGTCACACCTGGTGATGCGCAGGGGTTACTCCTGCCTCTGCACTCAGAAATTACTACTGACAGTGCTCGGGGGACCATATGATATGCTGGGGTTCCGGGTCAGCTGAATGTAAGGCAAACGCCCAACCCATTGTTCTATCACACCCGCTCCCCTGGCCCCCCCAAGAAATTTTTAAGCAACTCTGGGTGTACATGTATGTAAAGGGGGCATACAAAGAAAATATACAGTCATCATCATTATCACTGTCCTCCTGTTCATCGATTTGCTCGAGCAGGCCCAGTAACATCTCCATTGTGACAATTGTTACTGTATTTGGCATATTGAAAATGTCACAGGGAGCTTGCCAGGCTCTGCTCTGCAGGCGAGATACTCTTCGGTAGCCTGCCGGGCTCTCCAAGAGGGGCAAAGGAATCAATCTCCAGTCGGCCATGTTTGCTGGTTGCACTAAAATTATTAAAAGTAATTCTAAAACAGGCTGCAGTGACAGCACAGCGGTAGGGCATTTGCCATGCTCGCAGCTGGCACAGCCAAACCGGGTTCAACTCCTCTGCCCCTCTCGGATAGCACAGCAAGCTACCGAGAGTATATTGCCCACATGGCAAAGCCTGTCAAGCTACCTGTGACATATTTGATATGACAAACACTGTATCAACAAGTCTCACGATGGAAAAGTTACTGGGCCTGCTCAAGCAAATCAATGAACAACGGGAGAACAGTCACAGAGATTTCATTTATTAATTTATTATTATTATTATTATTATTATTATTATTTGCATTTTGGGTCACACCCAGAGATGCTCAGGGGTTACTCCTGGCTCTGCACTCAGGAACCACTCCTAGCGGTGCTCAGGGGACCACATGGGATGCTGGGATTCGAACCTGGGTCGGGTATGTGCAAGGCAAACGCCCAACCTGCTGTGCTATCACATTGATCCAGCCCTGACAATGACAGATTTTAAAACAAATTTTTATTCTCTTAGTGTGAGGGGAGGAAGTTTGGGTCACACCCACTGGTATTCTGGGAGGATTCCTGACTCTGTACTAAAAATAAATCCTGGCAGTGCTTGGGGGATCCTATCTGGAACCAGGGATCCAAACTTGGGCTGGCAGAAAGTAAGGCAAGGGCTTTAGCTGGTGTACTATGGCCCTAAAAAACAAACAAAAAAATCTTGTTTTTGGCCCATACCCACTAGTATTCAGTGAACCATATATGGTGCCAAGGACTGAACCTGTGTCTACCGCAGCATCCTACCCATCCTTCTGTCTCTCTAGCTCTAAAGCAAACCTTTCAAGAGCTGCATGACCGAAGCTGGAGTGATAGCACAGCAGGTAGGGCGTTTGCCTTGCACACAGCCGACCTGAGTTCGATTCCCAGCATCCCATATGGTCCCCTGAGCACTGCCAGGAGTGATTCCTGAGTGCAAAGCCAGGAGTAATTCCTGAGAATCACCAGGTGTGACCCGTAAAACAAACAAAAAAAAAGCTGCATGACCTGGGACCCAAGAAACAAGAGACTGAGCATATGCTCTGCATGCAGAAAGCCTGGGCTCAGTTCCCAGCATGCTTTGGTTCCCCAAGCAGGGCTGGGAGCAACCCCCTGATAACAGTTAGGAAGAGCCCCAGCCTCTAGCACCTCTGCATGTGGCCCACAAGCAGAAGAAAACAGACATTCCACAGTCCCTCATGGGATGACTGTCCACTGTCCAAGAATCTGGGGTAAAAGTAAATGAGATGCTAATTTCACTTTCTCCCACCAAGGACAGACCTGCACAACCCAGGGAAGGTGACAATCTAATTACTGAGCTACCTGGACAGTCAAAAAGGATGCAGTCATCCTCGACATGGCCAAGGCAGTTCTCCAGCCACTCAAAGTTACTGGCGAAGTACTCCATGCAAAACACCAGTCCTCCATTGGGACCGAAGCGCAGGGAACCATCCTCCATCACATCATCCACCTCGATCAGTTCCCGGATGTCTGCAAAGAATATACAGGAAATGAGTGCCCATTCCAAAATATTTACATTCTTTAGTAATTACAACTGTGACAGTATCCACAGAAACTGAACAGGGGCTAGAAAGAAAAAACAAAAAACAAAATCAAAAAGACACCAAACAGGGGCCAGAGGAATAGAACAGTGGGTAAGGCGCTTGCCTTGCATGTGGACAACCCACGTTCAATCCTTGGCACCTCATATAGTTCCTCAGCTTCACCAGGAGTGATCCTGGAGCACAGAGCCAGACGGGCTGAACACAGCTGGGAGTGGCCCAAACCCGACCCCACCCATAAAGAAAAGAAAAAAAATAAAACAAATAAATATAGGACAAAGAAGTTCAGCCAATGAACTTTGCCAATGAGAATAGGGTCTGGAGCGTAGCACAGCGGGTAGGGTGTTTGCCTTGCACTCAGCTGACCCGGGTTCGATTCCCAGCATTCCATATGGTCCCCCGAGCACCGCCAGGAGTAATTCCTGAGTGCAGAGCCAGGAGTAACCCCTGTGCAGTGCCAGGTATGATCCCAAAACAAAGGCTGTGGAACTAAAGGGGCCCTGGAGCGGGGACACGGAGAGTCCAGAGCGCAGGACACTCCCCTCATACAAGGCTGCCTCACTTTCAATCCCTGGACCATCCTGGAAGCCTGCCAGGGGTGATCCCTGAGCACAGAGCCAGGAGTCAGCCCTGAGCACCACTGGATGTGACCCCAAAAGCAAAAAATGCAGGAGCTCATACTCCAAAATTGCTGTACCACATATGACAGAGTTCATAGTAGCAGGCAACCAATCTTAGAGGGAAATATATATATATTTTTACAGATATATATATATAAAACACACAAGGCTCAACCTTTTACAAGATGTTAGTGATCTCTTATAGAAGGGCTTAATGGTCCCTGGGTGGAATACATACTCTTTCCTCTAAGGATACTTTTTTTATAGCATTTTTAGCGATTATTATTTTTTTTTTTTGGCTTTTGGGTCATACATGTTCATGCACAGGAATTACTCCTGGCTCTGCACTCAGGAATTACCCCTGGCTAATGGTGCTCGGGGGACCATATGGGATGTTGGGAATCGAACCCACGTTTGCCGTGTGCCAGGCAAACGTGCTACCCACTGTGCTATTGCTCCAGCGCCCTGGCAGTTTTTCATATCAAATAATGCAACAGAATAGATTATTTGAGTTCTGCTTTGGGACAGGGATTGGGGTTTGGGATGGAACTATGCGAAATATGGTGGTGAGAAGGTGTAATGGTGGTGGGATTGGAGTCTGAATATTGAATGTAATCAAATATTGTAAAACACTTAATAAGATAAAAAAAATTGAAGGGTTGGAGCGATATGATAGCGGGCAGGGCGTTTACCTTGCAAGTGGCCGGCCAAGTTCGATTCCTAGCATCCCTATGGTCCTCTGAGCACCACCAGGAGAAATTCCTGAGTGCATAGCCCAGAGGAACCCCTGGGCATCACCGGTTGTGACCCAAAAAGCAAAAAAAAAAATACTAATAATAATTTTTAAAAATGAGGATGGAATAAGTTATTGCACAATAAACACTCTCCGTCTTCCCCCATAGCCCTGGCCACCCAGCCCCCCACCTACTCCCATTTTCTTTTCTTTTCTTAAATTTAATTTCATTTTTTAAATTTATTTTTTAAATTTTTCCATTTTAAATTTCTTTTCTTAAATTTTCTACTTTTTAATGAATCACCGATACTCACCTGAATATCTCACCAAGCTCCCGGGAGAGAACAAGGCAGATTCTCCTACCCCGTGCTTGACTGTCCACACCAGGGCCCAGCAGCTGAAGACCTCAGGCACCAGGCCAAAGTCATGCTGAGACCACTCTCCACACGCTTGGATGAGCCTCACGCATTTTGAAGGTGAAATTGCAATGAATTTAAATAAATTTGTATGTAAGAAAGTAGCAATGATGGTCACAGCTGCTATTGGATAATTTTTATTGATTTCGGGGAGCAAAAGGTATTGTAACATTCATTTTTTTAAAGGAAAAATATCTGGGAAAATTAAGTAAGATCATTATCTTACCTTTATCTTTTAGTTTTCCTACACTGAAAATTATTTCTACAATTAAAACACTAAAAGTCACTTGATCACTTCATCACTTGCTACCCCGTTACTCATCCATTACTGGAGTGGGTGTCAGTAACGTTTCCATTCAGCCCTGTTGCATGCTAGCGTAGCCCAATGGCATCTGCTCATTCTAGGAATATGCATAAAGGAACTGGCAGAGGAACTCAGGTGTGCAGGACGCGGGGCTGAGATCTCCAAGCCTGCACGGTTTGGGACTGGACCTTCCAGTAGCTAGAAAGTTACACCCATCAACTGCCGTGTAACCCCAACAACTGCCAGGATCCAGTGATTACCACTCCAAGCTCCCAGGAGCGTGGGGCCACATTTGCATTTGCGGCCAGGCGACCTTATATTTATGTTTATTTATTTTTTCAGACTACCTTAAATATCCCACCCACATGGCAGAGCCTGACAAACTATCCGTGGTATATTCGATATGCCAAATCCAGTAAAAAAAAAAATGGATCTCATTCCCCTTACCCTAAATATGGAAGAGTCGAGAAGGATGTGGAAGGAGAGGCTGACAAAATCTCAAGGCAGAACTAGGCTGCCAAAACGAAGAAAGACAAAAATGATTGTCTGTAATTTCAATGCACGTATGCCGGCATCGGATATATCCATCGAGGACCTGATGGTACAAGCGTGAAAGATCAAGTAGAACATCATTGGTCTGACCAAAAATAGAAGGCATCAATCACACCATGCCGTTTTTGACACTGGAGAAGAACTGTTCCTTGGAACATGTGACAAAAGAGGCATCAGTGGTGTCGGTATCCTTGTCAAGGCGAACTTGGCCATGAGCATTGATTCATTCCAATGCCTAACAACCCGAATTGCATGATTACACTTGAATAGACGTGGATCACTGCCAGCAGTTTCTATCTTTGTTGTGTATGTACCAACATCCTGTTATGGTGAAGGAGAAATGGAGAAGTTCTACATGCAGCTGGAGAAGTTCTATAAAGAAGACCACGCCTTCTACAAGATCATTGTTGGTGATTTTAGTGCCAAGATAGAACCAAGAAGATCAGCCGATGAACTCCACTTTGGGACCCATGGCCTAGAATGGAATGAACAGGGTGACAGACTGTCTGAGTTCATCATGTCAACCAAGACCATCCATGGTAACTGACAATTCCAAAAGGCTGAATCTAAACGTTGGACATGGGAGTCTCCTGGTGGACGGTTCCACAGCAAAATTGACCACATCATATTCAATGGACGATTTTGCCTAACCGATGTTGCTGTTGTCGCAAAATTCCAAATGGGATCGGACCACCATCTCCCTCGTGCAAAATTCTACCTCACAGAACAGGGAGAAAAGAATGCAAAGTTTAAGAAGAGAACTCCCAGAACGACCACCAACTGGGAGCTCTTTGGCTCTGTTGTGGCAACATGGGAAGATGCCATCATTGACAACAATGATGAGGAATACGATCAAATGATTCAGCACCTCCAGGATTGTGCGAGGAATGCCAAGAGAGAGATAACCACAAAAAACCGCCTTCATTCGAACACTCTTGAACTTATTCGCCAACGTGGCTTGGCACATGCCTCAGGCAATGGCAAGCAAATGTCTGAGCTGTCAAAACAGTGCAGAGAAGAGATCAAGGATGACCTCAAAGACAGGAGAGCAGCAGTGCTGGTAGATGTGGCAGAAGCCAGGAAAAGCATTTGTAATGCCCGCTGTCCTTCACCAACTACAAGACCAAGATGACTGCCCTCCGACATCCTGATGGATCTATCACATCTTCCACAAGGGCAATGGAGATTATTCATGACCTCTACTCAGACCTCTTTAATAGCCACATCCACTTGCCCACATACCAAATTCTGCATGATGGATATGTCGTTTCCAATGTTCTCCCTTCCGAAATTCAACATGCCATCTCTTCGGTAAAGAAACAAAGAGCACCTCGCCCAGACAAGATCAGACCTGAGCACCTGAAGAACCTGCCGTCAGTACTCATCAATACACTGGCTCAGCTCTTCACATATTACCTGTCTGAATGCAAGGTTCCATCCCAATGGAAAACCAGAAAGACCGTACTACTATGAAAGAAGGGAGACATCCACAACATTGGCAACTATCGCCCAATCTGCCTATTGTCTGTCATCTACAAACTGTTCACTCAAGTCATCCAGAATAGGATTGGCAGAACACTAGATGAAGGACAACTATGTGAACAAGCCGGGTCCCAAAAAGGATTCAGCAGCATTGACTATATCCACACGATAACTAAGCTCCTTGAGGTTTCTCAGGAGTTCAACGTGCCGCTCTGTCTGGCGTTCATTGATTTAAAGTAGGCTTTTGATTCTGTTGAGAAGGAAGCAGTCATTGAAGCCCTAGTCAATCAGGGCATAGAAATTCAATACATCATAATCCTCCATGAGCTCTATTATGGATTCACTACCAGGATCTCTCCATTCTACAAAGAAGTAATCATCCATGTCAAGAGAGGGGTTCAGCAGGGTGATACCATTTCACCAAAACTCTTCAGTACCACCCTCGAGAACATCATACGACAACTGGAATGGGAAGGAATGGGTGTGAAGATAGATGGTTGGCAACTACACCACCTCCGCTTTGCTGATAACCTCATTCTAATAACACCAAACATCAGCCAAGTGGCACAAATGCTGACCGACTTGGACCGTGAGTGTGGAAAGGTCGGATTACAACAGAATCTCACAAAGACAATGTTCGTGAGAAACAGTCTTGTTCCTGATCATCCATTCACTCTCAACAAAACCACCATCTCCGAATGCAACAGTTATATATACCGAGGTCGAGAAATCAACAAGATGAATGACCTGGCACCTGAGTTATGCAGGAGGAAGAGAGTGGCTTGGAATGCCTTCAAGAGAATTGAAGAAATAACTAAGAGG